GTGAAAGTAGAACTCGGAGGGCGTGAGACCAGCGAGATACGAATTCTCGACAAAACCACGGGACTCTGGTCCATAGTCATCCTTAATGAAATGTGGCAGCGTTCTCTTACGGAAACCAAAGGGTATCCGTTTACCTTCAACGTTTTGCTGGCCTACACAAGCGATAACTTGAGAGATGTTGATGTTGGAACCCTTTGAACCTGATACCACCATAGCCTTCAAATTATTATATTCTGTCAAGGACTTCTTAGCGGAGCCTCCGGTCTTGTCTCGAGCATCGTTCAGTATCCTGTTTACTTGATTCTCGAAAGTCTGACGAAGAGTGTTGCCAGGTGTAGGCTCAAGTTCCATGTTATGTGCCTTTTGAATCACCTCTATCACGTCCTCTTTAGCCTTTTTGATCGCCTTCTGGATCTCCAAATATGTTTGCGGATCAGCAATAGTATCGCCAATACCAATCGAATGACCTTCTAGTAGTAACCAATTGTTGATAACTGTCTGAATATTGCCATAAAAGCGTCCACACACTTCGTGGCCCAGTTCAAGCATACAAATATGGAGCAAAGAACCAGCTGAAGTACCTAAAGTCTTTTTGCAAAGAATACCCATTACAAGTTCTCCATGTTCCACCATTACCTTTGTGTCACCTGGCGAGATCCACTTGTATGGACCATCGTCTTCTTCATCAGGATGTGTGCTGTGCGTTCGTATCATGTTCACATTACCTGGTATAATAAGAGAAAACAGCTGCTTACCGGTCCATAGTGGTTTCGGTTTCAGAATACACGGTTGCGGCATCTTGCCATCCCAGCTAGGCAGAAACATGAGTAGATTCATCATTTGCTCCTTTTCGATAAACACGTCACGTTTGGTCATTTTTCTGACTGCTGTCAGAGTATCCTGTACAATTCCCATAACCGGCTTATTTGCCTGTGGGGTAATAATCTGTCGTGGAGTCACATGAATATTCTCAACCTCCGCGCGTGTCTCCATTGACTGTGGAACGTGTAAATTCATTTCGTCCCCGTCAAAGTCAGCATTGTACGGCGATGTGCAGCTTAGATTCATGCGGAATGTACTCCACGGAAGCACCTTAACACGATGACCCATCATACTCATCTTGTGTAGAGTAGGCTGACGATTGAAGATTACGAGATCACCATCGCGGATATGTCGTTCCACTCGGTAGCCGCATTGCAGATGCAGATCCGAGGACTTGGGATGGAAACGCAGATCAATTCTTTCGCCGTTGTCGCGTACTATGTATTTCGCGCCAGGGTACTGCGAATTGCCACGCCTGACTAGCACCTGCATCTTATCGATGTTGAAAGGCGTCACGATCTCGGGGAATGTCAGATTTTGCGCTATACTGCGCGGTACGCCTACTTGATCAATACGCAAATTGGGATCAGGAGTGATAACAGTACGCGCAGAGAAGTCCACACGTTTACCCATCAGATTTCCACGAATCCTGCCTTCCTTTCCTTTCAGTCGGGCCTTGATGGCTTTGAGCGGCTTGCCCGACTTCTGCATCGCCCGGGGCATACCGGGCATGTCGTTGTCAACGAGCGTTGCCACGTGAAACTGTAGCATCTTTATATTCTCAGAAATTACATGTGCCGCTGCACCGGACTGTTCATTTCGTACTAACTCGTTGTTTGATTTGATAATGTCTGCCAATTTGTGTGTTAGATCGTCCTGATTCTTAGCGGAACCGTACATAATGACCGCAGGTCTAACAGACAGTGGTGGTACCGGCAATACGGTGACAATCATCCAATCTGGCCGTGCAAATTTCGGGTCCATGCCCAAGATGAAAGATTCTTCATCCTTAATGTGTTTCAAGATTTCCCAGGCCCTTTCGGCCGACAGAATTATCTTTTTCTCTTGTGAATCTTCATTGACATGCTTCCACTCTGCAGTGACATCCAAGCCAGACCGTCTAAGATTAGGCTGATATCTACCACAACCACCATGACCTGGTTTTCTGTCCATTTGGGGCTGGTTCTCCGCATTCTCCTTGTTAATGTCCATTTCATCTCCGCCTTCACAGATGTTCTTGCTTTTGCATAGATCGTAAACGAATGCGAGTCGCTTCCGTGGCTGTCCTTTCGTTTTCATAACGATTTCTTTTATTTTTGGATTATGCTGAAAATAGCAGAAAAAGATTAATGTTGTGAAGAATTCTTTTAACTTCCTCTTTGATGTTATTTACAGATAATACACTTAACAATCAGATAAACTGATTATTATCAATCTTTTCAAAAATATAAAAGATTTCCTATTATTATCTTTATAATCATATTTTATTATTTCAAAATAAAAAAATTCATTAATCAATTTTAAATTTGTACAATTATAAATTTTTAGAAAGATACAGAATGTGAATAAGTCAATTAAATGCAAAAACTTATGGGTTTTATTTTATAAACATAACACATCTTGAGTAATAAATACTTACAGGGTTGACAAGTAGTTTGGAACAGTAAAAACACACGCATCTCAATATTTTTATAGTTTTTGTAATGAATCCCACATGGAATACTGGTTTTGCTAGATCTATATGACCAAAATGACCAGGGCATTCAGTCATGTTGCCGGCGCAAGTTTGACATCTGGAATTCCTGTCGATAACACCTTGCCTTGGATCCATAAGACCGCCCAGTTTAGGGCGGCCTCCCTCCATAGTTTCAGGAAACCGTATGCCGCCATCGGTGACTGACATACGACGCTACACAAAAGTGTAACAATTCATATTTTATAAAAAATTTAAATTTAATCGAGACATTATATAATCTATATATATATATATAT